TCATCATAAAATGTCCTCATTAGAACTGCAAAAAAATACTTATGAAGGGACTAGACTTCTGCAGTTACACACGGGTAAGGCTGGGGTTATGGTTATTTGTACATTAAAACAGGAGGCTGGAAAGCTCAGAGACACTTGAGCAGCAGTCAGAGAAGGGGCTCATTTGCATACCCCACTGGGAGTGTGTTATATCAGGAAAACACAATCCAGGAGTTCCACTGTCTTCAGCATTCTCAACCCAGAGAAGGGGTCAAGAAGACAGTGGAGACTAGTTATATTTAGGGCACTAAATATATTTGATGAGTGTATTTAGCACCGAGGGGAAATAAAAAGGGTCCCAACCTGCAGAGCTCTAACCATCCAGGAAATAGCCCTAAGGTTGAAGAGTAGCTGAGCAGAGATGTTTTGTAATGCTGGTGGGAACATGCCCCAAGCTTTCTGAGAGAAACTGAAAACTGAGGAGTCATGATAAACTTGAAGTAATTGTGATCCAGGACTGCTTTCCTAGAGTAGGCTGAACAAGCTGCAAATGGGTATGAGTAGTCTTAGATTTTAATTCTCAACCAATAAAAGTAGCACCTTTTTTTTTTTCAACTAACCTCTGTAAAATTCACCAATGCTTATGTTTCCAAAACTACAAAACTACCATTCAGAGAATTTGATTAAAATTCAGAGTAGTCTGGATCCTAGACCCACGGTATTCCCATTACACTAACTTTCTTACACAAATAAAAAGCCAAGAATTGTGTAGAATCACAGTTAAAATGAAAACCAAAGTGGCCCCAGGGTAAATATCAGAAAGCGAGTATTTGACTTTCTGTTAGATTTCTGCTGTTCTTAAATTGATCATGTGTCTGACCTACAAGTACAGGAAGAGCAGGGATTTGGGGAAGCAGGACAATGAAGATGAGAGAAGAAAAACTTTTCCCCTTTTGGCCTAGCTTCCCACCTAGACAGATGCTGGGCAGGGGCAGGGAAGAAGCACAATGGGAATACCCAGTATGATGGGAGCTAACTACCTTCTTTCTTGCTATAAGCCACTTTGGAACTGAAAAGGCATAACTAATTCTAGACCTACCTTTAAAAGATGGTCTTGTTTCCACTTACTCTGTTTTAACATTTTTAATTTTAGTAGCTGTAGATTTTTTTTTTTTCCCGGAGCTTTAAAGCTCCCATACAAAAGTGATTTTGTTTTCGAACTCCATAATCAAGAGAAATAGAGAAGTTATGAAGTTTATACCTGGACGCTGTGAATTAGCATGCTTTTCTATAGATAAACGTCTGCATTGCATATTCAGATTTTGCCTAAGTGGAGATTTATTACACAAGACAAGAGATGATTGAATCCTTGAAGGAAGGATCTGTGTCTTTTCATCTTTGTATTTCTATTGTTGCAGGACAGTTCTCCAGGTGGCCTTGAAACAATCAAGTTCTCCTCCTCTGTCATTTGTAATTATCAAGAACAAGTAAAAAATGTTCTAAAGAACAACCTCCAGGGATGAAGAGTAACTGGCTTCAGCAGAACAGACTCTAGTCCCCCATAGAGACAGGAGGTCCTTCATCATTAGCCCACCACAGCATTTTGCTCCAGGGTATAAAACCCAATGTGGAGCCAGCTCAGAAGGCTAAGGCAGGAGGCTCTTATTCAAACCCAGCCTCAGCAATTTAGCAAGGCCCTATGCAACTCAGTGAGACCCTGTCTCTAAAGGAAAAAATAAATAAATAAATAATTTGAAAAGGGCTGGAGATGTGGCTCAGTGGTTAAGTGCCCCTGGGTTCATTCCCTAGTACCAAAAATAACAAGGTGGGCTGCTTTCTGAGGTCTCTTAATTCCAGGGTAAGTGAGTCACAAGCAAATGAGATACTATTCCTGGACAATTTTCTCGAGCACTGAAAAACTAACTCACAATGATTTCTAGACTTTTGTTTTCCATTGCTTCATATTTGTGAGTAATAGATCTTCCACATGTAGCTCATTATGTGTGTTGTGTGTCTTGTCACACAAGACACAAGCAAGTAAAAACCACGCAGCCAAAGATGCAGCAGACTGAAGTGATAGAACTCTGTCTCCGGGTGGTTGCCATAGTGATGATCTTTGTTTTCCTCCATGTGGTGTGGATCTTCCCTTGGGTTTGGTCATTAGTGAGCTGGTTTTGCAATTGTCTAAAACAATGCTTATTGTTGAGTGAATATTTACGAAATGAATGAATGTTATAAAGAACCAGGCACTATGGGGCATGCCTGTAATCCCAGTTACTCAGAAGGCTGAAGCAGGAAGATCACAAGTTTGAGGTTAGCCTGGGCATCTTAGTGAAATTCTGATTCAAAATAAAAAGTAAAAAAGCCTGGGAACATAGATCAGTGGTAAAATAACCCTGAGTTCAATCCCCAGTACCACCACAAACAAACAATCAAAACCAGCTTCTTTTTCACATTTGCCCTGCAGGAAAGAGCCTGTTTGCATGGAGATGGGTATTTTATCAAATTTCCCTTCCAACTCCTCCCATTCTAATTCACAAACCATTCTTTAGTTAAATGATCTAGTCATAGATTTCTATCACACTGCATCTTAATTACCCTTCAGATGAAAATCAGTCACCAAGGAGATAGCCTCTACTACATGGTTATTAGGATTATTTTTGTCATATTTTTGGTAATAAACAAAAGAGTAATGAGCAAATCACTCCTGATATGAACTAATGACTTGAAAATTATCTCATGCTTTATAGGAACTCCAATGCAAAAAATAAATAGTCATAAAACTAAAAATTTTGTGTGTGAGTAGGTCTGCCTGCAGCCCAGATCTTCCATCTGTTAGACATTTTACATAGAGAACAACTAAAACCATTAGAACCCCAAAGGCTTATGATTTTTATGCTATGCAGTTAGAAAGTTCTCTGTTTTTCAAAGGCCTGTCAGTCCACCGTTTCAGAGCCTTGAAGAGGCCTTGAAGGCCTCTAAGAAATTCTCTTTATTTAGATTGTTTTTACTCCTATAATGGAATCTCCACTAAAATGACACATTAGGGTTAGAAATACTGTCTGAAAAATGAAATTTCTTTATTATGATTTATGCTATAAACATTTTTAAAAGTATTAAACTATACAAATTTCTCTGTAACTAGATCAATAAATATTAAAGGGAATAAATATTAAAGAATAACTGTAACTGGATGCTCTATTAGATAATTGATTCATTCCACTTACCTATTGATTCACATGACCCTTATAAACAAACAGCGTGCCACTAGGCTTATTGGTATATGAGATATTGCCAGATTTTTCTCTATTCCAGATTCTGAAGTGCAGCATAATTCTATATAAAATTCACCCATGCTTTTAAAATTTTAGTTGAATCATAATCTAGTATATCTGCTTTGGGAATTAATGAGAACTATAGATGCGAGGTTAGAGTTTCATTTCATTCTTCACTCGGCTGTTTGATTGACTCAGGATTTGTTAATAACTAGAGTGGATAATAATGTTAGAGCATCCAATCTTCAGATGAGAGTAAAAATAATTAAAATTCACTTTCATTTTACTTTAACCCAGGTGCAACATCCCTGAATCAAATCTATAAGCAATATAGCCTTTGTTACTTTCCCTCAATAATTGGGAATCATAAAAGATGATTCAATTTCAACATACCTGGGAATGAAGTCATCAGAGCATCTGTACATTTTATCTGAAAAATATCCAAAATATACAAATTAAAAGAAACTTTGGCATACATTTGCTAAATCTTCTACAGAGTGTTCTGAGGGGAGTTTAGCCTCCGTGTAATTTAACATATTTGATCATGCCATTCAGGCCACCACTAATTGAACTTGAGATGCTATGGTTTGAATATGGCTTGATTGTTCCCCGAGGGTCCATGTTTTAAATGCTTCTTCTTCAGAATGACAGTATTGGAAAGTGCTGTGGAACCTTTAAGAACTGGTGCCTGGGGTGAGGTGGGGGTCCTTGGACATTAAGTATATTACCCTCAGAAGGGATTAGGTATTTTCTCAGGAACTCCTAAGTAGTTCTCAGCAGAGGGTTAATATAATAGAAGTAAGACTGGTCACTCCCTCTCTGCCTTCTGGCTGGAGCAGCAATGACGTACTTCAACCCAGGCTCCTGCCATTGTTATCTGCAATGAGGTGATTTGATCAAGGGACAGCAATATAGAGCTTGCATTATGCTGTTTGCATTTTGAATCATCAAGACCATGAGCTAAACAAACCTGTTTTCTGTATAAAGTTAGCTGCCTCAGGCATTTCATTGTAGTGATTGAAGCTGACTAATACAAGAGATGAAGACATTCTGCTATTTGGGCCAATCAGATTCTATCATGGTAATATGAGATGATACAGAAGCCAGAGGCAAGGCCATTTTATGCAGAGGAAACACTAGGCAGAGAAAGCTGGAACTTCTATTCCTGCCTTCCTTGTGGCTCCTGTCCATTGTGGAACATGGACACATTTTCTGCCTTTGAATTCCATCAACACTTCTGCATCCTTTTGTTAGCTTTCTTCTTTGCCATATTGGTTTGAGTAGGCTTTTATTTGTTACCCCTCAAAAAATAATAATAATAATCCTAAGAGAAAGTCCTTTTATTATCTATCTATCTATTTATCTATCTATTTTTAAAGTGTTAACATTTCTTGGCATCTGAACAACAACATAAAAGTGATGCTAAGAAAGTAGTTCCAATCATAAATCCTTCTTATCTACATGCAAATAGTGGTAAGTAAAGGTGACAGTTCTAGGGAGAAGACACTGGTGAAAAGGTGAAACTTAACCTCTAAAATTAATCAAAACAGTAAAATAGCTTCTAAAAGAAATAGTTTTCTTTAGTCTGAAAATACAAGACTGACCAGGAATATAATATTGGACAATGAAACCATAAAAACAATTATGTGCCAAATCTCAGGAAGTAACCCACTGTTGAACCTTGAAACTTGCACATCAAAGGTAAATAATTTCTAGTTAAATATATATTCAAAAGATATTGGAAATACAGTTTTAAGAAATTTATTTGGTGAAGGCAATCAATTCATAATGAATTGTTGGAGTATGTTAAGAAATATTCAGGGAACATTTTTGGTAATTAAGATCAATATTGTGATTTTCATTATCCATCCATCAATGAATTTTCTTTGATTTTGAACTAGATATATAGCATGATATTTATTATATTTTAATTTCTTATTTTTTAACCTGACATTAAATAAAAGCTAAACCCTTTCAGAAGCTATTCTATAAAAATAGAGACCAATATTATCTAAGTCTATGGCAATGACCCAGAGACAGCAGTAACTTTATCTTTTAGTTTTAATATAGGAAACACAGTGAGAGTAAAGAACTAGCAATAACATTTTCAAATAATTGAGTTAGTCACCAAGCATCTGTGAAGATTATTTTTAGCTAGATTTAGTGCAACAATGTTGTTATCCTTCAGAGGAGTTATATACTGGTAAGGTAATATTAGGGGAACAATATATGAAAACAGTCAAATTGCCAGATGAAATGAACATGTTACATTGTGATGCATTTGGAAGAATTCTGTGAAGGACCAAAGGAGGAAAGGTTTTGCACAGCATACATACTAAGCTGCTATGGAACTCAAAATAATGAATGTAACCCATTGGGACCTGTCAGAAATACACTTCTTCCAACCCACAGGAAATGCCCTACCATGAACTGCATATAATAGAGACAGTTATTTTCAACTACTTTCAGATTAGACTTGTGAATGTAAAAACACACAAATGCCAGTGAAAGCCAAAGGTGATCTGAAAGATGCTACACAATAGTTACAAGTTAATGAGCACCCAGCAAAATCAGGAAGCCTGAGAAATATAAATTAATATGTCAAATTATTAGAAGGATAATAATTATACAATAACCAACAATAATAACTAATTAGTTATTATGGACCATAAAATTGTAATGTGGAAAATAAAATATATATATATATATATATATATATAGTATGTGTTGATTCCTTTCTGTGAGAAAGAAATGTTCATACTCATGCCATAAATATTATTCAGATTTACCTATAATTAAAATGATGTACAATAACTTAGTAAAACTGTTGTCTGATGTATCATAGAACAAATTTAGGGTTAGGAATCAGAAGATACTGGATATGATACGATCTCAGCCAATACATTTGTTATGTGACAACATGCAAATTATTTAAAAATTCTGATTCTCAGCTTATTCACAAGGTAGGAATAAATCTACTCCTGTATCATGCAGTATATTTAAAAAACAAATGAAATGATTTCTGTGAAAAAAATTTTACAAAATGACAAAGTTACTTGTTCATGTTACATATTCTAAATACATACCACATAATAAGCCACAATTTAATTGTGTTCAGTTGAATTGGAACATTTCCTTATTAAATGAGCTAGCTGAAAATAGACTGATATTATTAAGATGGTATTTCAACATTGAAGTTAAAAATATTTAAAGGTCAAGTAAAGCTTGACCTGCAATAAAATTGTTGAAATCTCCACTTTGATAAGAAGACAGTCACCAGATGAACATTAATATGAAAGAATATATATTATATATATATAATTTGAAAATAAAATGTGAATGAAAAATATTTGAAAATAAAATAATATCCTTGCTTAATAAGGATAGGGAAAAAAGATAAGTAGATAGTGGAGTAAGTAAAAGTATTTCCCAAAGATAATATGGGCTCTCCAAGGAGAAGTACTTGAGTATGAATATTGGAAAGTATACTCATATAATGAGCCCCCTTGTGTCACCATGTAAAAGGGAAATATATCATAAGGAGTAAAAGGCACAAAAGGAGGAGGAGGCGGAAAAGGAGAAAGAGAAGGTGGAGGAGGTGGAGCAGGGGAGCAAAATCCACCACAAGAAAGTATGAGCAAAAAGCTTTGTGGGGAAAAGGGCACAGAGGTAGCTGTATAAAGAACACAATAGAATAATGTGTGAGGCTTCCATGAGAGGAAAGGGGACTGAATCAATGTGAAGGAGAAGAAAATAAGTGATGGAACCATTATCCATCAAGATCAACTCCACTGAAGCAGCACACTGAGAGAGCTCAAGGACACCACATTCTGGGCTGTTCTTAGAATTTAAATGTGTAATCTGGAGTGTGGACCATCAATATTTGGATGATTTTAGTTTTACAGTCCTTCCTAAAGGAAAGTGAACAACTATAATCTCTTTAAATGGGAAGTAGTAATGGAAAATGGAGGGGTGACAGCTAAGTGTGGAGGTCAGCAAGCTCAGGCTTCTGAAAAGAGCTGGCTCTGGCATGAGAGCTGGTGAGTTTATTTAAAAATAGATGGTATGACTTAAAGGCTGCCTAGTCATTTCAATCATATTTAGCAAAATTACAGAGTGTCTGCTTTGTGATAAAGTGGTGAAGGGTGCAAGATGGTGTGTGAGAAGAGCTGGGTGAGTTTTCATGATCCTCTCCTGTGATTCAGATGCAGACTCTTGCGGTTGGGTACACAGAAGAGAGGATGAGAAGCAAACGTATTTGCTTTTATGTTTTCTTCTTTAAAAGGTACACCCTTCTAAGCACTATACACTACAACAAGAAACAATAGCTCATAGTTTAATCCCCACAATAGAATCTTTCTGATTAATTTTCCATGAGAAATGTGAAAAATGTGTATTATTTTCTAGAGAAGAGGAGATACACTGACAGGACTTTGATGTTTGTGCAAACCGTGCACTTGTTTATCCTTCTCGAAAGAATTGGAGAAGTAATGTTCCTTGGATTTAAAGAAGGAAAAAGCTAATGCATTCCTATCGGGAAAATGAATAAATATAATCCTCCTAAAAGAACAGGTTTGGACAAAGAATCACATAAAAATGAAAGATTTGTTTGGGGAGGAAAAGAGAACTCTATTTCAAAGCTTCTACCCAGCTGCTACAGAAAACATCAAGGAAAGGCTTATCTTGTCTATCTGATTGAATGTGCAGATATTATATTGTCACAAGGATGGAGATTTTCTTTTGTAAGCTATTTAATACACCAGCAAAACTTATTCACCCACTGTTTGCCAAGGTGGAGTCAGACCTTGCAAGTTTCTTAGCCACAAAGATTAGCACAGAAATGCAAACACAAAAAGTTGCATGAGGTCAGATGCAAGAGCATTGCATTTACAGACCAAGTTTTAGAAAAGCTGACTGAGAGGGCAGAATCTCTTGTCTATGCAGGACAAACAGGTCAGAGGGGAGTCTCCAGGGAGACCTGGGCTCGAGTTAGACATGTCAGTCCACTGATTATCTTGTCCCACAAAAATCTTAAAAGGATACCACCTGGATCAACAGAAAAATGAGGCACTAGCTTAGATGATGGCTCTCGTCATACTTACCACCTTAAATTACTTCACCTCTCTAGCTCTCAAATTGTCTTTCTCTAATTCAGGTAATATCATCATCTGCCTTCATAAAAGGTCTCAAATAAGAAATTAAACTATCCTTTACTACTTTTAGCTTGTATTTTTCTATAAAAGAAATAAACTTTGTAAAAAAAAAGTCTGATGATGAGTCATTTATACATCTGCCTTATAAAATGTGGTTGTTTGAAGATACATTTGTTTTTAACAATAATTATGGAAAGCTTGTAAGTGAAAAAGCATTGCTTGCCTGGCATTTCACCTTAGACACAGATCTGATGTATAGAGGTCCTAAAAGAATGTTAGGTTTCCAGGTGAGGACATTTCATCAACACAAAAGCATATGTACTGGTAGAAACATTCTTTGCACAGAGAATTAGAAAAATGAGGCACTTAACTCAGATTTTGCTATTGAATCAATGCATGACCTCACTATGTCACTTCATTTTCTAGTACCTCTAATCTTTTTTTAAAATCTGTATGACAATGCCTTCTCCATATTTCACATTATCATTTCCAGCACTTAAGAAGCTACTCCTGAGAGGGCCAAGGACACTCCCTGCAATGTGACCATTGCTCTCAATTGATTCAAGTTTTCTTGGACATATGTGTCTACCTTACCTTTGTTAGCTTAGTTTTATTTCTTTTCATCTGTTAGAAAACAATGCTTTTATCTTTTCTTGTCTTTATTTTTGGCCCATGTAGGATCTGTCCCTCAAAAGTTTCTTAGACCTAGAATATTGATATCTCCCAGAAATGGTTCAACTTTCATTCTTCCATCCCATGAATCCATGTACTCAGCATGCCTGTGTTGAATGCCTACAGCATGCTGTGCTAGTTACTGACCTTTACACTACTTTAATCATGGTATATGCAGGTAAAACACGTGGTTAAAACTGCTGTCCAGCCTGTTGAAAAAGAAGCACTGACAGTAGCAGATCCTCTTGGTCTGTTCTCCTAGTCCCTGGGATGGGCTGATTATAAGCCCATGGTTCAATCAATGCCCTTTCCACTTCTCTTCTGAAGCCACCTCACTCTGTGGATCTGCAGAGGGCCCGCTGACCTCGAGAGGATTTGAATAGGCTTGAACCTTAAAGAGATACTCTTCTCCTCTTCCTGTATCAGAGAGAACTTTTGTGGCCGCATTTTGATGAGTTGTCCAATTGGAGGGGAAAAAGTTTTTTACCAGGATAATCCCTTGCAAGTCTATACCCTAAGGCAAAGGTAAAGTTAAATTTAGTGGGTTTTTTTTTCACATTTCTAATATGATTGCATTGTTAAATTAAGAAAACACTTGGAATTAAAAAAAAATCAAATAGATTTTCTGCAGAGAAAATATTCTATTGGATGACATTTCATGAAATTGTCTACTTCTGTAGGCTTTCCACTGACTACACTCTCCATTCAAGCAGGTACCATATATGTCAAAATGTCTTACCTTGTCGTTGCTTTTCTACATAGTGAGAGATATTGAAGATCAACGAAATAACCAGAGCCAAACCCAAGAAGGCTAGAAGTCCCCAGAGAAAAAAGGGGCATTCAGAGTTTCCTGGAAACAAAAGGAAATACACCCATGATATAGTAGTTAACTCCTCATTTTTTTGATCTGGTTGGTCTCACAATGAAAATGGCTGCATTCATTTGTAATAAAGGAAAAGTCCTCCAACAAGAAATTAATCATCATTGACCGACCAAAAGCTTATTACAGATTTCAAAGTGGGTGTAGGCAGTAAGTCCTTGAATTCAGCATGGGCAAAAGGAAACAAATTTCCCAAATTCCTACTGTTGATGACATGGAAGATATTTTTAGACTGGCTGTTAAAAGGTGACTAGTGGTCACTGATTATAAAAGCCTTCATTCAAAAAAAGAATATCCTAATGATCAAGAATCATAATTTGCCATCTTTTCCCTTTCTCTAATATTCAGACTAAAATCATGTGTGCTTTCCCTGCTTACAGAAAACCACTGGTTCTCTTCCATCAAGCCTTGCAGTGTCGAACATCAGGTACTGAAAAACAACGATAATTCTGGAATCAAAGCAACTCAGTTCTGTTAGGACTGGCCCCAAGGAGCTCTCCTCAGACTATTTAGAACTCCATGAATGAACAGCAGGGAATTCATTAAGACACTCTTTCCCCTCTGTGAAGAGAAGCACAAACTCTCTTTGTTTCATTTCTGAGTTATGAAAGACATTTTATGGGATATTATGTAAGATGCACTTGATAGTTTATGACTATCTCTACACCTATATGAAGGACCGTCAGATGATTAACCTAATTTGACATATCTTAGTAGTCATATCCCTGTAGAGCCCACATCATTTGCTGACCCCAGAAAAGTAATTTGTAATTCTGCATTACAACATATATATTTATTCAACAAATATCAATGAGAAATCACTTCTGTAGCAAGAACTATGTCCTATACTAGGGATCAATGATTTAAAAATGAACAGAATGCTTATGCTCAAGAACCTCTACTTAAGTTGTGAATGTAGACGTTAAACACTTAATTAGAAATACAAGGTGAATATAGCTATAATAGAGATTACATTCCTCCATGGTCCCAAACCTTATGCTATGAGACATCTAAAATCAGAGCCCGTTTTAGACCTCTTCAAAGAAATGAAAATACTACCATGTTAAACCCAGTAAAGACTATACAAAGTCGTAACAGAGGGAAAATTAGTTTTGCTTCCCTACTCTTTTTAAAGTACAACAAAGACTTTCTAAACCAAAATAACTTTTATGCTGCTCAATACTCCTTATTTTCTGAATCTCACTCTTGACATTTGAATTGTGTACTTGAGTTGGCATCATTGATTTTTAAATGAGCATAGTTAGGCATATGAGTGATTAAATACAGAAAATGGGTATGCGTATTATGATATAAATATGTCTATACATATATGCATCTAATTTACATGTCACCTGTTTGTACATATGTACATTGTTTTCATTCAAATTTGTTCAAATCTCTTTTAATGCCTGAAAAATTGTCACCTGCTCAAACTTCCTCTTTAATTTAGTACCATGTTATTTCTATATGTTGGAAATATAATAATCTTTACTGAGAATTAAGCTATTCTATCTTTTATTCTGTGATGCCATTATGTGTGCTTTAAAATATTTTTTCAAGAATAACTAATAAATAGAAAAAAATAACTAATGATGTTGATAAGATGTGTGGTTTTATTTCATTTAAGGGAATGTTTGCATTTCATAAATATAAGAAAATTTAAAGACTCAAAAAGTCTTTTTACCTCTGCAAGAGACCTGCCAATTCATTAATACCAGATTTTTCTGGAGAGAAGAGGCCAATTTATTTCTCATAAACATGACTTCATTAAGTATTTTTGAGGATTTGACAACACAATTAACTACATTAAACATACAGAAATTCTGGGTATTGCATGCTATTGTATGTATTTCTAGAATTATTTATTTGATTTTTTTACAGTTTTACCTATTTGTTTAAAAAAATTGCTCTGTGATAGTAAATTTTTAAAATTTCAGCAATGCCAATATAGAGTAACCTGGAAGATCTACCAAAACATAAATGGAGACTATTATACTAATTAGCCTTTCTTATTATAGTGTGTTTATGTTATTTTTAGTGGCTGCCTAGATTTTTTCAGTGTTGCTGTAATGTCTAGTCATTTCCCTAAATGGGCATTTCCCATTAGATGGGCATTCTAATTTTTTAAAACATTTTCTCTTACACACAATGCAGAAAACACCATTGAACATTTTTGTGGATATGTGAGCTTATTGTACAAGAGTTCCTGGGTGTGGAATTGCTGGGTCAAAGGGTACTTTGGGAATTATTAAGAAAGCTTTCAGAGAGAGATTGCTCCTCACCTGCTCATCCTGCCCCGACCTTCAGTCCCACCCCACATTGATGACTGTCATTTTCAGGTGGTTGATCCAACTATAACTATGCAGAGGAGGCCAGCTAGTGGTCTCGTTTCCCAGACAGGTCTGAGTTTCCCTCTTTCCTATCACAATACAGGGGTAAAGGGGGTGATTTCTGTCATTAAAGACCCTTGCTCTTTTCCTCTTCTTGCAAATGTCATTGAAGCACCCATAGTCTAGGTGTAGGTCTAAATCCTTCCCCCATGTTAAAGAAATCTGAGGGCACACACTACATATTCCATTGAATTATATTACAACTCTCATTTCAAATTATTCAGTCAAGTTCACCCTCTACGGTCTCTGTATCGGTGACACTTAACAAATTTTACTTGCTACAGAAAGGCCAAATGTATTACACACATCATTCGTGTTCGAAACAAAAAATAATTAGTAAATTAATAAGTCCAGATAAGCAAAAACAAAAAGATAAAACAGGCTTAACCATATTATCAAGAGACAATCAGTGTGAACACTTCGGTTACTATATAGACCCTTTAACAACAGCCTTGAACTGCAAGGTCCACTTGTACCTGGATATCATTTTTTGGAGATTTGCAACAATTAGAAAAAATTTACAGATGAACCCCATGGTCCAGATACTGGAAAAAAAATTAGGAAAAAGATATGTCATAAATGTATAAAATATATGTAGGTGATAGTCTATTCTACCAACTGCTTCCATGAAATATATACACAACTCTATTACAAAGAGTTGAAATTTATTAAAACTTTATTCACTAAACATAGACTATCCATAGAGCCATTCTCAATTGAGAAAAAAGTAAGCAAACATAAAGATGAAATATTAAATCATAACTGCATGAAATTAATTATAGTAATACTATACTACTGTAATTATTTCATAGTCACCTCCAGTTACTATTGCTATGAGCTCAGTGTCTGCTTAAAATATCCCATGACACTAATCATCCCTGTATAAGAAATTTGTTCTTCTCGCCAGCAAATTGCAGATGGCAGTGAGCTTCTCACATATTTTTCACCATCAATATTACACATGATATTTTTAAAATGTCTTCATCAACTCTTTATGTTATTGCTCATGGTCAACAGCAAGCTATAAGTAGTTACATTCGGAGGAGCCAAAAGTTATATGCAAACTTTCAACTGAGTAAGGGGGTGCACCTAACCTCAGAGTTATACTTCCAAACCTATTTTTCTTTGTGTAGAAATTGTTAAGAATGCAGACATAAGATTCCATTAAACCCTAGATTGTTATCTATTTCCCCCCCCCCATATTTTTTTTCTGTCTTTCTTTTCCTATGAACAAAATGTGCTTCCATTTCTTTGGGCAGCCTAATATTCCATTTTATGAATATTCCATAATTTATTTAAGCAATCTTTATCATTTAACACTTAAGTTGCTTCTTTTTTTTAGTTATAAACAAATTTCGACAAATGTTTTTATAGCTAAAATAGATACATAGCTTCATATTTCAGGTTAAAAAATTTTGAAGATGAATGTTTGGACCACAGTATATACTTAAATTAAAGAACTTTGATATCTTGATATCCAAGTTTTTAAAATACCATGGTATGTGGACTTGTTTAGGCCAGTCTGACCTTTGTTCCCATTAGGTCATGGGGCTTATGCTTATTTGCTCTTTTGGATGATCCATACCACATTAACCACCGCTCCTGACCAAGCTGTCTTCCTGTACACTATATCCCTATACTCCCCTCTCCAATGGACTCTGGAGAAAACTGTCCCTTTAAAAATTTTTCTGTGGATTGTGACATCGATTTTTTAGGAAAAGGTACCTGTTCCTACCTCTGCTTTAGACACAGAGGACATCACCTCTTTTATTCCTCATCAAAAACTATTTCCACAAAATGATACTTCAGATTTCCAGCATATCTTTGGGATTTACTTCACAAACTCCCAATTATATCCCATTATTATTATTATTCTGAAGCACTTGCAATTTTGAATAGATGTGTGCTTTCTACTTCATGTGCTTATATCTCTGTATATTCACTCCTTTGCCTAAAATGCCTTTCCTCTTAGTCATCTAAAACATAACTAGGCACCCTACAAGGTTACCTTCTCTTTGAAACTTTCCCTCAGTGCTGCCTGTCCTCTACCAGGTGACATCTCACAGACCCCTCTACATTTAAACAAATATTAAGGTAATAATTTTGTGTATCAATCAATTTCCCCTAGTAAACTGTGAACTCCGCAAAGGGAAGAAACTGCCTATTCATCTTTGTTTTCATGCCCCAATTTCCTCATTGGTAAAAAGAAAAAATAGTGATAATAATAGTGCCTGTTGTGGAACTAAGTGAAGTAAGATGTAATAAGATTTTTTAGAATAATGTTGCTCACTAGTAAGATGCTTAATAATCAATAACTTTGATTAATAACTTACTGGTAAGACTCCTACTATTGTATCTGCAACAAAGTCAACAAAATGTAACTGCTCACTACACATGTGTCAGCTCCCTGAAGAAATGAAGATGAAATAAAAAGGGGTAATGTAATGAGTAACGGCCAACAGAAAGGTTCTGACCAGATATGTTCTAGTCATATCTACAACCCAGAAAAGGAGTGTTTGAAGATTCCCTTCCACTTACCTCCAGCATTATTGAGAAGAAAAGATCTAACCCCAGCAGCTGGGAAATCCATGCTTGTGAATAGAAGAGTAACCTATTAAATCACTGTGGCTTTGGCAAAAGTACTTATCAACAATGCCTTAATTCTGTCTTCCCTGAATCTATATTTACCAAGAAAACTTAAGCTATTCATTTCTTTTCCAGGAAACTTGAAATAAGGAAGTTGGTGTTAACAGCTGGCCATCAGAATAGACTAGAAGAGGTGTCCATCACTATAAATGTAAACATTTATTTTCTTTTGAGAGTTTGCTTAGTGTCACTAAATTATGTGGGAAAAGCTATTTGGAAACTACTACTGGGCTCTGTGAGCTCTGTGAGAGAGCCCTGGGAAATACATGGCTGCATAAAACCAGGATGTCAATCACAAGAGTCAGCGTGAGCAGAAATACTCTTCTGACAGAATACACAATAATTTGAGAAGCATAAAATGGGCATATGTTTTCACTTTCTTCTCAATTTTTTACCTTAAGATCCAAAATGTTTACCTGTACTAGTTAAATTCTACCGTCCTACTAACAAGAATGTTGTCCTATATGCTAGTAACATGGATCTTTCTTCAGAAACCAGAGTAGCTTCCCAAATATTTACTCTGTCTTGCTATTGTCAGAGAAAGAAGGATTAAAGTACCAATTAAATCCCAATTATTTTTTGGCAGATGTCCATCTTTCTTTTTTAAATTTTAAATCTATCAATTAAGTAGGATAAGGATGATTATTGAGTATATATAGTATAGAATATCTTTCCTAAGAACACATATTACAACTAACTTATTATAAAGTTGAGCAGAACACTACATTGCTTAAAATTAAGCATTTAATTGATGTATTAATAATTTACCTTTGGCAATGTGGACTTGTAACTCTGCTTTGGAAATAATCCAGCATGGAAATGATATATCAAATCCCTACATCATATAATTTGGGAACATGCTCTTTTGCTTGTCATGTGTGAAAAGGATGTAGAATTGATTTTGGATAGTAATTTTGACCCTGCCTGAATGAAGCTATCTGAACATTCCCCCAAAAGGAAGTTAAATGGGCTTGCTTTGATGGCTTCCTATTCTACAACATGTTCCAGTTATGTTCCCAAAATTCCTTTAAGAGGAGGATATCAACACCACATCCATCTGTTAGATCACTAAAGCACACAATCTACCCCAAGGTGGCAACAGAGAGTTGAACTTCAGGTTGTATTCAGAAAATAGAAGCTAAAACTCTCTTTTGCTCTCTTTTACTCTTTTAATTTCCATATTATCTACCTTTGTTATCAGGGGGAAATAATATATGTTTTAAGAAAAAGAAGCAACCTAAGAAACTTGCCATAAAATTCATTAATTATAGTGTACTAAGGACTAGAAGGCATTGCTTAATATATCACTTGGTGTCTCAAGTTTAAGGACCCATGTGTCTCCTTAGGATCTGGTACATTTTTATGTTTAGATCCCATGTGAATATTTTAATTGATCACCATCTCTGACTTTACAGTTTTCCTTAAGTAAATCTCTAGTATTACATGACTCTCACTTTCATGGCCCAATTGTGTCCCTTTACCCTGACTCATTTGGTTATCTTTTACACTATTATTATCCATTTCTAACACCCCTCTTTCTAGGGGAGGAGAAAATAAATACATAGAAAATAATAACAAATCTTTAGCACTTATGATACTTGGGAAAAGTAATAAAATCAATCTCTTTTCTAGTTAGGGGTTTTTATCCATTTCCTAATTTATCTAGTATTTTGCATACTCTCAATAAATAGTTACAGTTTGGGTAAATAAAATATAGTCCAATATAAAAAGTCATACTTCAAGGATGTAAGCAGAAAGCCCTAATCTTATTTTTAAAATTACACTAAATCTAGCTATAAATCATCCTATCACTTGGACAAAATTATATTTCAAATAGAAGTTTTAGTTTCTGTCTTCCACTAAAGGGAAGCTTGGAAAAGTCATAATAGTCCATTAATTGCTACAAGGAGATAATTTTGCTCTCAGTTACAAAGAAACAACTAAATCAATATCATAAACCTACATTTTACACTAAAAATTTTAGGAAATTTTTTAATAAATTTCATGGAATATGTCAACAATATTAAATCAAGAACTAGGACCACAGTGTGCAGTACTTAAGGATTGCATTTTTTCATTTATTGAAACAGCAAATCTGTTCCAAATAAGTAAATGGAGGCCTTTTAAAACCCACGCTAAATCATAATAGGCAGAGTGTGACTAGCCATGTGCAGAAGGTAGCATAGCAGGGTCTCCAGTTCTCCCTTGATTTTAGGAGTCCCTAGTTCTGTTTCCCAAGATTTTTTTTTTTTTCACTAGTAATGTGAACTGAGTTTTCAATGGAAGGATTTTCATTTATAAGCTTTGTATTTCATGACATTTTTGATACCTTCCACACATTTTTGATTACCAAAAATAAACACTCCAACTTTGAAGAACAAAACAATACACATAAAAACACACAAGTGCAGATATAGAGTAGCTAAATGGTGGACATTTTCAACAAGTCTGTAGAAATACACACACACACACTCCCTTGTCCTCTTATTCAAGAACTCTCCATATGTAGAATTAATGTCTCCCATAGCCTGTAGGAATCTACTTGGGATGGGACAGTGCCTCTGAAAACACTGTATGCACAAAGTACTTAAAACTTCTTGCCCCACAAGTGCAATCTTTAGATTATTTTTTTATTTAATTATTCATTAACTGTAGCTACTTTCAATTATATAGCTTTTATCAATTTCAAAAGAACATCCACACAATTTGAATTCAACAATTTACACTGTTAACAAGCCAAAGGCCTTGAAAAATTATTAGTAAGCAAATGACAGCTAGGAAAATCATGATTTAAGTTTCTACCTAGCTTTCAAATGCCAGGGGCTAATAGTTTGAGTCTTTTAAGCAACTAACACACTGTTTTTAAGGCAAGATTGGAAACCCACCAAGTTTAATGAATGTCTGTTAATGAACGGAGGATTTTTGAGATGTACGTGTGGGTTGTGGAGTAGGCTGTACTGGGGAGGGAAAAATAGCAAATACTGGCTTTGAAATGTCTTCCAACAGTACAAGAAAGAGAATGAGAGTAGTCAATTCACTAGCCGTATGACTGGTTGTGTGCCAATCACTGAAGCTCACTAAACTGACTATAAAACAGGAATTCATGTCTTCATCTGTGTGACATCAGGCCACCCCTTTCTAACACATCATGATTCTTCTCTGTCAGTACTTATGGAATTTAATTAAGAAAGTGTACACATGGGAGTGAGGTAGTGGGCAGATTTTAAGAGAGTGTGTTAAGATTTCTCCAGTGCTAGTGTCCTTGCTGCTTTCACAATTAAATTTTAATTGAGATTAGTAAACTTCAGAAATCCTGTTGGGCTTAAAGAGCTGCCAAAAGCCCTTTTGTCAATGAACTTTTCTTTATCTGTAGTTAGCTACTTCATTTTATATATGTACTTATTGTTTTCTTATTAGAGAAATACCTTGGAGAGACTCTGAAGGCAGCATGATTGCATGAAACCTTTAATCCCACAAAATACTTACCTACTATGTTTTAATGTTTCGAGTAAGTTCTGTTAATTTTATTTTACTTTTAATTTAGGAATGCCAAGAAATTTTAAATGTTTAAATGTTTAGAGAATTACACATTAATGAGATCTATTACCCACCAGCAATTTCTGCACACATTTCTCAGAGTCATGGCCTTCAAATGTCAATCTTTCCTGGATTGACTTTTCTTAACATCACAGCCAAATATGACTTAAATTACCTGGTGGAACTTTCTTTTTTGATCCATCTTTAGTTTAAGAACATCTGCATTTATGGCAGTATGTATAAATGTGGATGTGTAACCAATGTGATTCTGCAATCTGTACACGTGGTAAAAATGGGATTTCGTAACCCACTTGAATCAAATGTATGAAATATGATATGTCAAAAGCATTGTAATGTTTTGAACAACCAAAAAGAAGAAGATTCGGAGTCTGTAGCTCAGTGGAGGAGCCCTTGCCTAACACATGTGAGGCACTGGGTTCGATCCTCAGCACCACATAAAAATAAATAAATAAAATAAAGGTATTGTGTCTATCTACATCTAAATATATACATGTGTGTGTATATATACATATATAGATGATGATTCATACATTAATCTTACTTAGTCTTTAAAAGAAAGGATTTGTTCTTCTCAAAGAGGTGATTGAGGCTTATGGAAAGAAAATTAGTAAACACAATGAGAATCCTATTTTAAAAACAATAATGTGTAAACTAAATTGTAAATCATTGTTTAAATTAAATTATCAATAACCAAACAGTTTTTTACCATTTGTTCAGCTAATGCTGATTTTTTTGTGTGAATGTAGAAGTATAGCATAAGTTGTGACAGCAGCAGGTTTATTGATGATGTAATAACTACAAAGAAAAGGAAAAAAGTTTGCATCTTTCATTTCAGACTCTTTTTTTTTACTTAATTAAGGATAATTGTGTTTTTGTGTCTGTGTTCGAATGTATTTTTTATCTTGCTTATCTGAATTTGAAAAAGTCTGGTTTTTTCTTTCATATTATTTTGTTTTGGCTTTTAAGGTCTCTGAGGCATTCAGGGCAAATACTAAATTTGTATCTCTTCTGTGAAATTGTGAAAGGTATCAAATGACATGAAGGAGCTCCCTATCGCACCTGAAGGGACACTCTGAACTACAAAATACTATGGAGAAAACTTCATCATATTCCTTCTTCATTTAGAGTCGTTAGTCCTGGAAATAGTGAAAGGTCATGTTCAGCCTTTGGCCTTCTCACCCTCCCACGCTCCCCATCATCAGCTCATGGCAGTGACAGTACTACTGCTCTGTCAATTTCCTACGGTGCACTAGCAAATTGGAGCAATCACTTTTGTTCTTTGCTAAGCTAAGAAGGAGAAGGAGGAGAACTGTGAAAATCACATGCTAGCTATGTTCCCTGGGTGATTATCCAATCCATTGATTTTAAGATCCATCAAACAAAACA